CTCCTTTGCCGGCTCCTCTGTGCATGGTTCCTCCTCAAACACCATGGCGGCAAAGGTGTGTTCACCCCGTTTTAGCCCCTTGTTCAGCTGGGAAGGGCTAATCTCATTTTCCCGTCTAAACTTTACCACACAAGGCTTCGCCTTGGAGGATCACCATCGTGTCGTTGCTAGGCACGATGATCGGCTTTACCTGGTCTAAAAACTCCATGCCAAACACAAGACCATAATCATCCATAGGTGCAATGGAGAAATTAGCCGTACTCGACCGATTGCCGATTTTAAGAGGCACATCCTCGGCTTCGCCTACAAGACCCGTCCATTCACCGTTCACGCCCTTGAAACGGCCTTTGCTAGGTGTCCACTTGACGCCAAGCGAACGGGCTACCTCTTCCGTGAGATAACTCGTGTCGGCCCCCGTGTCTAGCATGCCCCATCTAGACCCGTTTGCGAACGATGCCTCCATGTAAAGACGGCCTTGACGTGTCTCGGCCTTGGCATGCACGGCATCTAGCCGTTTCATGCAAGCGACCCGTTTCTCCTCTTCTTGGCACAAACCTTGTGCCAATGCTGCCAACTTCGAACGAGACGGGCAATCACGTGCCATGTGCGCTCCCCCGCACAAGAAGCACCCTTGAAACTTCTTTGGCTTGTCCCCTTGGTCTCCTTGCTTGAAGACGGCTTTGTATAGTCGGCTGCCGGCCATGGGGTGGAAGACTTCCTTTGTCTCCCCACCTTTGCCTTGGAACGGCTTCTTGCCCTTGTCCTTGGAGCTATCCTTCTTTGGAACTCAACAAGCGACTCGGCCACCTTTAACGCCCGATCGATGTCCTGGACTTCTCTCCGTTGTAGCTCAAGTTTGGCCCAACGGTTGAGACCGTCCATGAAAGTAAAGAACGCCTCCTTGGGCGAGAGATCCGAATTTCAAGCATCAAGTCCGAAAATTCCTTAACGTATTCCCGAATTTGGCCTTCCCTATGGTGCGGACGACGAAGCTTGGCCCGGGCTTCGTCTTCCGCATCCACCGGTAGGAAATACTTTCTAAGCTCTTCCTTAAAACCATCCCACGTGGTGAAGACCGGGTCTCCATCCCCACGGGTTTCATCATACGTTTCCACCATGATAAAGCACTATCTTTAAGATAAAGAGAGGCTTGGAAGAGTCTTACCGAGTCGTCCATGATATTCATAGCCCCAAAGTACTGTTCCATGCTGTAGAGAAAGTTCTCTACGTCCCTCAAGCGACGGCTGCCCTTATATTCGTCCGGCTTGGGCGCCTCGAGCCTTGGAACCGTCCCCACGGCTCCGGTTGTCCCTTGCACGGCCACGGCGTCAAGCCGTGCCTTAAGACGCGCCGATTCTGCCCGAGAAGTCTCCAGCTCCCCCATAAGCCGGTTGACGTCGTCTTGGAGGGCGGCAACACGAGCAAGGCTTTCCTCCTTCGACTTGTTGCAACGTTCCACCATTTCGTTGAGCGTCCCTAGCATGTCGTCCTTCATTTGCTGCATGACCTCTTGCAATTCCCCTGCGAATCGCTCCATGCGAGCTTCGACGACCCTGCTACCACCTCAGGGTGCTCGTCCCAACGGTCTTGGTGGTCGGCCACAGCAAGCTCTAGCTTGGCAAGCCGTTTCTCAAATTCCACCATCGGCTCCCTAACGACCGACTTCTCCTTGCGGTTTCCTTTGCGGGTGGTCCTCCCCACCTCGCGGGAAACGTGATCCCCTCAAGCTCCGACCCTTGAACGACCTCCGAAGGGTTGGACATAGCTTATGCACGAAAGAAAACCGACAAACGGAAGCGTAGACGATGTAGCACACCAAGTATCGAGCCGAGGCTCGATACCAACCGTCACGGGCTTACTTTTTCAAAGTAACGGCCGTGCGGCACTAGCACAAAACAACTAACGATCAAGTGCTAGCTCACCCTTAAGACCCCAAAGCGTGCAAAGCTAGGCGAGACTTTAAAGAACGGAGGCAAAGAAAAACTTAAGAAAGGTTGAAAGTAAAAGAATGATGAAGGCACAAGAGAGCTTAAGGAATGCTTGAGAACTCTACTCAAAGCTTGGATGATTACAAATGAAGGGGGCATGGGGTATTTATAGGCAAACCCCAAGTCCTAAAGAATTCTAGAGAATTCTATGTACATAATAAAATAATGGGATTCTAGAGAATTCCTACAATAAAATATTCTAAGTTCAAAATATCTACAAGTCTCTAGAATCTTCCACACGGTTCTAGCAAACTCGGCTAGCTTCCACACGGTTCCACTCGTTTCTAGAGAGTTCCGGGCCTCTCTAGAAAATTCCAGAGTCTTCAAGATTTGACTGGAGAATTCCACAAGGCTCTAGACCGTTCCGTCCCATGTCCGTCTACGAAAATAGCCCGTTTCGCATCAAACCACCCGAATTCGTGGTGAAGAAAAACTGTCCGTGACACACCCGAAGAACCGCATAGAAATTTCGGTGCGGGTGCGGTTTAGAAATTTTTTTTCGGAGACCACTCGAAAACCCGATTAAATATTATTATTTTTTAATTTATTTTATATACATATATATATAGTATTGTTTATAGGAGAGATTAGGGTTTTTCTTTTCTTTTTTTTCCCACCCTACTTCCCATTCTATCTCTCTCTCCCTGTCTCTCACTCTCTCGTTCTTGCGCCTGTCGTCGCCCACCGCCCACTGCCGCAACTCCAGACTCCCAACTCCAAGACTCCATCTCCAACTTTCCACCTCCATGATCCACCAATTCCATCACCAATCCCTTCATCTCTTTAAAAAAAAAAAAGATAATTTCCACTTCCAGATCTGAGAACTTTAGAAAATGATGGTGAGATTTTGAAAGTGAGGACAGATGGGGAATTTGGAGAAGTAAATTGAATGAATACCATGTCCTATAATTTTTCTTCCATACTTTTCTTCTTTTTGGCTTCCGATGCGCTGATGCGGTGACGCCAGTGTGGGGAAGTGATGGTTGGAACTTGAGCAGCAATGTGGGAAGTGATTGCTTGGGTTTTTTATTGGGTTATTTTCCCGGCCAAATGGTAAGACTTCTAAGCCGGAAATGGTAGCTGAGATGGGATTTTTTGAAAATAGCTCTCATGGGTAATTTGGTAGATCTCACGGTGGGTGAAAATTTTTCTGTTTTTTTTAAAATTTTTATTAAGGCCTTTGATTCATCTTGATTATGAAGGATTCAAAAATAAATATTCGTAGAAACTTGAATTTTTTATTTTGTTGTGATTTAAACCTTGATTTTGAAACTTGAATGTATCAGGTGAATGAAACATCATCATTTCATCACATCATCTGAAATCTGAATTGTGAGGGTTGTATTAATTCGGTTGAACTGAAACCCGAACCGAAAAACCTGATGTTTATTCGGTCGGTTCGGTTCAGTACAATAGTTTGCTTGGTTCGATTTCAAGCAGGGGTCGTGTGATGAAAAACCCGATTAACCCGAACTGAATTCATCCAAATCGTATCGAACCGTTCGAATTGACAGCCATACTTAAACCTGTAAGAAAATTATGTAACGTATAGTCTAGTATGAAAAGTATCCTCCTTAAACCTGTATTAGAGCATCAACTACCAAATGTCCATTCCAATGTACATTTTAATTCCTTGGACTTAAATGTAGCGCATATATAGAGAATGCCTTGCCTCGCTCGTCATCGCCGCTATGTCTTGATCAATGATCTTCAACAAAACCTTTTGCCACTTCAAATACCATGTTAAATTTGAGCCTTCAAACAAGTTTCATAACTAAATTTTTGCAATAATAATAGGATATACTGAAACCAATAATGAACTAGCATGTCTATATAAATTGAGCCCTACTTAAATTTACTAATAAATTGAGTTAAACAATTCAGTGAAAAAGAACACCCACGTTGTAATTAGGATGGATCAAGCATATAGAGCATTATATTATATATATATATATTATAAATGTCAAAGTTTCATTATCAACAACATTTTTAATTTCCATTCATGTCCTTTGGCTTGCATGGATTGTAAATTTTTACATGTTTTGGCTTAAACTCTTATATCAACACATATAAGTATTTTAAATTATAAAGCTAAAAACAAAAATGAAAAGCAAAACACCCTCTTTACATGTTGTTTATATTGTGATGAAGTTGTAAAATTCACAGCAGCAACGTTAAAAGTTGTTGAAAAAAGAAAAATGTTATTCAAGCTTATTGTTCTTCAAGGCTTCAATTTTATTTTAAGCTTTGATTTTCTCCTTTCAAATAATTATAACTCAGTTAAGTTCAAATCTCATATAGTATTAAATGGTACAGTAAAGAAGTTAGAAATTTTGTCGTAAATTCTGAACGATACCAACAATTATATGAGAGGCATGTTCAAGTTCATATTATGATGATAGCCGGACAAGTAAGTACAAAAGGGTGGAAAAATAACTTGGATATCTATTGCTTCAATTGTTTTAGATTTAATTTTGAATAAAATTATATTCTAAATGAGTAAATGTTCTGTACAGTTGGTGTATCACGTAATCTTGTGACATAAAAAATATAAAATTGACAAAGTTATATTATAGTAAGTGTGTTGCTGCAATAGCAAAAGGATTATAACAACTGTACAATAGAATTTTTCCTTTTAGACTCCCAAATTATCAAAAATGGTTTTACAAATCAAAGTAAGGAAAAAAATAAAAAATTTATAAAACTTTAAGAACATAATTCAACCATAACTTTAAATTGGAGGACTTTTCCGTGATTGATCCGTAAACTGATAACTCCTCGAAAACGTGTTCCGAATAAAATAAGGTGGTTAATCTAAACCCGCAACCTAAACATGGAAAACGATACCAGCCGTCGATTACATCACATGCACCATTACCAATACTTGCAATCTGACGGCCATTTATTCGCCAGCTCATCGATCCTTCACCTCCCTGATAAACCAATCACTCACCACCAGTACCCTCTATATAAACCCCAATTCGTCCCCCCAAATTTCCTCACCCAATTTCATTCTCAATTTCAGTATCGCAAATTTCCAATTCCCGTTTCCCTCAATTTTCAATCCCATTTTCCAGAAACACCCAGAATGGCCCCCAAACCAGAGAAGAAGCCCGCCGAGAAGAAGCCGGCAGAAGCCGAGAAAGCCCCTGCGGAGAAGAAGCCAAAGGCCGGGAAGAAGCTCCCCAAGGACGGCGGTGCGGCTGCCGGAGACAAGAAGAAGAAGAGGATTAAGAAGAGCACTGAGACGTACAAGATCTACATCTTCAAGGTTCTGAAGCAGGTCCACCCAGACATTGGGATCTCAAGCAAGGCCATGGGCATCATGAACAGCTTCATCAATGATATCTTTGAGAAGCTGGCCCAGGAGGCTTCCAGGCTGGCGAGGTACAACAAGAAGCCCACCATCACTTCCCGGGAGATTCAGACTGCTGTGAGGCTTGTGCTTCCTGGTGAATTGGCTAAGCATGCTGTTTCTGAGGGTACCAAGGCCGTTACCAAGTTTACTAGCTCTTAAAGTGTTTTTCCTTTTTACAAAGCAATGTTATGTTTGTGATAATAGTGCTCTAATAATATTAGGGTTAGATTAGAATTAGTGGGTTTGTTTACGCTAATTTATGTTCTGGAGATTACGAGAAGCAGCTTATTGCTTTGTAGAACTTTTGATGGGATAAATCTTATTGTTATTTTCAGTCTAAATATTTTGCAATTTATGTTCGGTTCTCTGGAGTTATGTTTTCATCTGTGCCTGTAATGGTACAAGGTTATGCTGTGTTAATGTTTTATTTGTTGGTAACAATCATTTGTATCTGTAATTTTTACCTGTTGTGTTTCAAAGTAATCCTTGTAAGGCCTGTTTGGTTAGTTTCTGTTTAATACAGTTGTGGTTTCAGTGAGTTGTATTGGATCCTATGCCAACACATGGTTTACTTAACTAGACAAGCATTCGGACTAGACAATATGGAGCATGGTTTTGATGTTCAAATGGTGTGTAGGAGTAAGGTCTCTTGTTTTTATATTGTTGTATTATAGTTATTCATGTATATTTGGGGGTGGAAAGAAGATAAGTACTGTATGCTTTTTAGGAAGAAGAACCACGCTGTACTTTTATGTTTGTGAACAAATTTACGTCTGTAATTATAGAAAAAGTGGATGGTAAAGAATGGATGGCACTATGGCAGAGTTGAAATTAATACTATATTCCCAAATTTGAGTAGTTATTTTACTGTGGTTCTATCTTTGCTCTTGATTTCTGAAGAAGTATGCCCTGTTGGTCTTGATTTGTGAATCTGTCCAAGCTTCAGGAAGGATTTGAAGCTGTTTCTTCATGCTAATTATCTGTGTGAGACACCATATAGCTCAGAGTTACTGTGGCCACCCTTTAATTCATAGTGTCATGTTTATGATTGCCAAGGTTGCAAGTATTTGGTTACTCTGTTATTATTGTGAATTCTGTAAAATAGTTAGCTTGCTATGTTTCTTGCTGTAGCCGATCTTTCAAGGTGGAACCGTGGAATAGAAGTGTGTTGTGAAATATTGAAGATCTGGTTGGTAGCTTTGGATCATTTGCCTTCCTGGGATGCTATATTTATTGCTGCAGTACCTTTTTGTCTCCGTTTAAGTTCTAGTTAACTTTTATGGGTTATAATATTGGTGTTATCCTCAACCCTGTTGTGTAGATATTTTGAGACAATTTGCATTTTTCCATTGAACATTTGTGAAATAAGTTTCTAGAGAGAGGCGATAGCTAAATAAATTTCTGAATTTGGCAACTTTTCACCATGGTGTTAGATTATCTTTGACAGTTCTGCTTTGGAACTAGTGCACATGAAGAAGTTATCACCATGTGCAACTACCAAGTTTTGATGTTGATTTTTTTGATGCAGATGCATACAGTTTCCTAGAAGGTACATTTTTGTTGGCTGGTTTGTTATGATCTCAATCGAATGTTATCTTTGGTTTAAGTGGGTGTTAATTTGGTTAAACCCCGAAGGATGAAAGGACCTTTTTTATGTCGTCTTGATGAGTTATATCATACTTGCTTCTTTTGTTTCATAGAATATCGCTCTTCATTGTCTATAAAAGATGTATGAAGGCATTGGAAAAGGAGAAAACCTCTGCAGGCATGCAGCCCTGTTCTGTTAAACTTTTCTACTTGTTTTTATGTTCTGAACTTGTTATGCTCCTTGCAGTTGTGGAGCATCTTATACTTTGTTATTATTGGGTGCTCTCTGATTGGATTCTACAGTTAAAATTTTCTTTCTACAGAATTTTGCTCAAAATATGTGAAAAGTATAAGAAGACGGGGTAGGCATGTTTGGCATTTCATTGGTCATGTATTGAATGTTAATAGGAATTTTGAGGAAAGGCCCTGTTCTGAACCCTACCAGTTTATCTGGTCCAGGAGATTAAGCAATGTAAGATGGATTGAAAGAAGTATCACTCAGAAAATGACATCTGTTCCTTGTGTTAATGTCAAATTATGGCTCTGAATGAGTTGAGGAAAGACAATACTTTACCAAAGTACAGAAATCACAAATTGAATATTTTACAGATAATAATCTTTGGGAACATCTGTATTCAAAGTGATCTCTATTATCCAAACATTCAAAGTAGCATATCCCATTCCTTTGTGATTAACTCAATTTCAGAATTTCTGATTGTTGTGGCCTTGTGGGTGTCCTAGTCTCCTAAACTCCTAGTTATGCTAAGTCTGGATCTGAAATTATCAATTTGTTGAGAAAAATGTAGTTTTTCTTACACAACATGCAAGGTACAGATTTGGAGGTCTCAACTCTGTACAAGGATGATGATAAATACTCTTCGGTTAAGCAGGTATAAAACCTGCCTGCAGTAGTGCAGCGGGCGGGTTCCTAGAATAATGGTGGCTCACTGAATCTCCTGCCTATCATATTTCATAGCTTTCCATGACATTGTGGCAAATGGTTGATTTCTGTGGACTATTTATGAATCCTTCAACAAGTATGGTTTCATTAATTAGCAAGCTCCTCAAGAGGAAGGAGATCAGGAACTCCATTGTGAAAGAAGATTGGGGATTGAGTTCCATTTTTTGGTCTTCTGATGATAAGATTTGCACATCGGCCTTGTGTTCCGAACTCTGAGCAGAATTCATGCAAATATTCCACACAGAATGATGATGATGGGTTGAAACTTGAGGAAAACTTGGGATTGCCTATGGTTCGGATAGCTCCTAGCCTCCTACTACTATATGCGGATTTGAGTTGGAAGAGGACGATGAAAATTGCTATAATTCGTGACCGACTGCAATAATTTTTAGATTTTGTCTAGTCATTTACTCTTTTGCTAACTTGTTTGAATTTTAAGGATTTATTTGGATCACTTCGAAGAGTGTGTTGGTGTAATGAAAAACATTAAAGTATGATCTTCGCAGAATGGGACATTTTTGGACAAAAAAGTCCATACACTTGAATCCCCAAAAAATAAAAATGGACTTGACATCAGAAGGCGCGAAGTGTGAGTATCACAAATTCACGCTTCTCGTGTTGGGGATTATTGAAGATTGGCGGCAGCGGACTTGAGCAAAATAAGGGAGCAGTAGAAGAATCAGAATGATTGGTTTTTAAAACTTGAAGCACACACACTCCCAATTCAATCAATCAATATAGTTCAATAGTACAATCGAACAAGAAACCCTACATTTATATTTCTCCTCTTTCCTCTTTTCGTCCTCAAAAATCATTAAGCCATGAATACCGAAGAAGAACCAAATCCAGAAATTCAACAAGTTTGCGTCGGTGGTGATGACCGTAATAATATGGTTCAAGATAATAAATCCATGAAAGAAGATTTCGGGAAGATGCAATATGGGTAGGCTTTTTTTTTTTTTTCAGTAATTGGTGATTTATTCGTTGTTTAATTGGTTGATGTGTTTAATTAAAAAGATGCGAGCATTACCGGAGACGATGCAAGCTCAGAACTCCTTGTTGCAATCAGATTTTCACCTGCCGCCACTGTCACAACGAAGCCGCTGTAAGTTTTGATTGGATTTTGTGCGTATTTGATTGTTTGACGCTGTTTGGGAATTCGGTATTTGTGTTGGTTTGAAATTAATTTTTACTCGATGGGTTGATTATGATTTTTTCTTTGTCCCCCAATTAAATGCATTTGCGGAAACAGAGCGCTCTGAGTAATCCGAAGGAACGCCATGAACTTGTTCGTCAGGACGTTAAGCAAGTACAGTTCCTCACTTCCTTTTTTTTTTTTTTTCTCTTTTAATCCCCCGTTTCTTATTGTCGCTTTTTTGACTTTCTGGTTCTTCAATTCACATTTTCCATTTATCCAGTTATACTAATGCTATTTAGCACACATCACGTGGTAAAAAATGAATGGGATGGGTTAGACATGCTCATAAGACACCTTAAGACGTCCCAAAGCTATTGAAAACTATTGTGAATTAATAGGGAAAGTGCAGAAGACTTGATTCTCTATACCTAAATCTTATCAGGGACTTGTTAATTGGTGAGGAGATAGTGATATATGATTCATATGGCAGACCCCATTAGCCTATTGGAGGCTTTGTTCTTGGTGATGTTGAGGGAAAGAACTAAAAATGACTACGTGGATGTATTAATGATAAGCTAAGAGAAATATGTGAGGATATGCGTATTGGAACATAAAGTTGGTCAAATATGATTTACGAATTGCGGAGCTCACACAGTGGAATGCAATGTTAGTTATGTATTCTCTCGATAACTCATATTCTCATTGTAATCTCAGTTTTGTGTTTTGACGGAACACGATGCTGAAATATCATTAATGCCCAGTGGGCCTGCATAAAGTTTTACATATTTTTCTTTGTAAACTTGCTCGTTGTAGTTTCAGTTAAAGTATAAGAATACATGTTGTGTAAATGGACACAATGGGGAATAGAATCCGTGCTTTGTAGACCTATAGATTTTGCTGTAAGTTCATAACAGATCTTGGTTTCAAATTATTGTCTTTTGCAGGTTATCTGTGCAGTTTGCAACACCGAGCAAGAGGTTTGTATTTTACGTTCCTGACTTGAATAAAATTCAAATTTTCTGATGCAATCGCTTCTTGAAGTCCCAATGTCTCCTTTTTGTTGATGCGCTCCACTTTGTTGCAGGTCGCCGAATTCTGTTCAAAGTGTGGCATTAAATTTGGAGAATATTTCTGTCAAATTTGCAAGTTTTATGATGACGATGTAAGACTATTTTTACTTGAATTTTGCAAATGCTAGTTTTATATACTGCTGAAGTGAATAGTCTCTTGAATTCTTCTTTGGTTTTGCAGACCTCGAAGGAGCAGTTTCATTGTGATGATTGTGGGATTTGTAGGTAAGCCAGTTTCTAACTTCTCACTTTTTTTTTATTTTTTTATTTTTTGGTCACAGCTGTGTTTCTCTTTTGTGATTGTCTTGAATCCCGTATTCTTCACAAGCCGCTATGTTTTGCAGAGTTGGTGGCCGTGACAAATTTTTCCACTGCGCTAAGTGTGGTACGAGTCCAGTCATTCTCATTACATCCAAGTTTTAGTTTTGAGTCTTTTAATCAACTCTTTGTTGTGAGCCTTGTGACTATCTTCGACATGATTTTCCATGAATTTGTTTGATATGGTAAATTATCATGTAACTGATGCATCTGAACTGGAGCTGGAACAACAACTGAGTAATAATTGAACTATGTCAGGTCTGCTATAATGATTATTTCCCCATCACGTTCTATTGAAACACTTTTTTCCATTGATAAATTTAAATGCATAATTTCTTTTATGGACTCCCAAGTCTTTAGGTTTAGCTAGGCTTAGAAATTTGTATGTGGAAATAAATCAAGGGGGTGAAATTACTTGTAATTGGCCAATCTCTATTGTGCGACTAATGTCATGCTCTTTACTCCAGTTGCTGTTGTCTTAAAAAAAATTGTTGAAAGAGTTTATGTCCTGTGTGATTATCTTTTTGTAAACTTTAGAAGGATTTTGCCGATTTAAAAGCAATAGTATTTAGCCTCCTAGGAATAGATTATATCACTCTAGGAATAGATTATATCACTCTTCTACGTAATCTTCACTCACTGTTTGAATTTATGAATGTGTAGGATCTTGCTATTCAGTGGATTTGCAAGATAATCACTCTTGTGTGGAGAACTCTATGAAGCATCACTGTCCAATCTGTTATGAGGTTTGGAACTGAACCATTTTAGTATTTTAATTTTACAGTTTCAGTTTGGCTGTAATTTATGACATTTCGTGCGTGCTATTGCTAGTTTCTGTTTGATTCAGTGAAAGGCACAACAATTATGAAATGTGGACATACAATCCATGCAGGTTGCTTTTCCGAGATGATCCGACAAAATCAGTTAAGTCCTGTTGCTCTTTTCTTAACTTTTCATGTTTCAGTTTTGCTCGACAGACAAGTGGCTGTCTTGGTGTGTGTTTTATCTTTTCCCTTTCTCTTTCTTGTTGATCTCCTCTTTACTATCTTGACACCCTTCCTGTTGCGGTTGGATTCTCAATTTAGATATCGATGCCCGATTTGCTCAAAGTCAGCTCTCAACATGTCCGAATACTGGGAAACACTAGAGCAGGAAGTACGATAATCTTTTCTATAGCTAAGTGCATATGTGTCATCCTTATGGTGGTTATTTCAAAAAGACCTTTTGTGGACTGTGACAAAGATTGTAAGCAAAACTTTTGTATCTAGCTGGACAGCATGAAACGAAAGATTTTCCAGCAAATTGCTAATTTTTTTTTAATTAAAAAAAAAACTCCGTTTACATTATGGTAGAACAATTTGAGGTGATGTAGGAAATTAGAAGAACTTAAATGACTATCATTATGTCTGACTCAGTGACTGAGGCTTATGCTCATTTTCTGAGTCTTCCTTGGGACATAACTCAATTGTGATTGATATAGGTTGTTCCCTTTCCTGGATTTACGTCTAAGATTGTTTTTTTCCCTCCTTTGGTGGGACAGATTGCAGGTGCACCTATGCCCGAGGTATATCGTTATGAAGTAAGTCGAACTTCCTTTCAATCTCAAAAGGACTGGGAAAATTCTTTCCGTCATGATTACTCTCCATCTGTCATATCAGAATGCAAAACTTATCTTAAGAGTGGTCTTTTTCTGCTACTAATCCAATATCTGCTGTCCTTCTGTCGCAAGCGTTACGTCCTTCCTTTGTTGGCTTCTGTAGTTGAAGTTCTGAATCTCTCTTGATTGATTTTTACAGGTTTCGGTACTCTGTAATGACTGCAACAGTACTAGTAAAGCTTTTTTCCACATATTCGGCCACAAGTGCAAGCAATGTAATTCATACAATACCCGTGTGATCGAAAATGGCAGAAATAATCAATGATCTACTTTGACTTGCTCTAGGAGAAGCTGAATTGTTAAGTTTCTGGACTCCCCTAGATAGTAACACTTTCTATAATGGTCATAGTGGATACTCATTAATCATTGTTGTATTGCTTCGTTTACTGTTGAATCGGTAGCTGCTCCTTGGAGGTTTATTTTTCTACTGTTTGTTTGTACAAATACTATTTAGTCGGTTTTGTGACTCCACCAGGAATACTGCTAGGTGTCTACACCTGTTATCTCAAAGTCACAATTTGTCAATTTTGCCTTACAGTCGGCTTCTCTTCTGCTACTAATCCAATGTCCTTTTTTGTTTGAAGTGTTACTTCCTATCTTGGTCCATCTGTAAGTTTGAAACTTCTCTTGATTTGAACTTCTCTTAATTGCTTTTTTTTTTTTTTCCTTTCTTTCTTTCTTTCTTTTCTTCTCTTTTTTTGTACTCCGTAAAGACTGCAACAGTACTAGTAAAGTATTTTTTTCCCATATTTTGCTACAAGTGCAAGGATTGTATTTCATATAATCCCCACTAGATCCCAAATGGAGAAAATGATCTAATATTTACTTTGACACGCTCCAATGTTAAGTTCCGGGGACTCCCTAGTAAAGTGATGCTTTCTGTTGTGATCTGAGTGGACATTCCATATCACTCATTCAGTCATTGTTATGTATATATTGTTTTATTTCCTTGATTGATACATACCTTCCTAGCTGCTCCTTTCGGGTACTGTTTTTTAAACTGTTTGTTTGACACGAAGACTATAAGTCAGTTTTTGTTACTCCACACATTGCTTTAGGAGTTAAATCTTGCCATATGTATGCAATGGGAAGGAACCCTCATTAGATCTTGGGTGGAAAAGTCAGATAGGGTTGGATTGTGCGGAGTTGTATATCTCTTTGCTTCTGTTTGGAACAAATTATGCTTTTTTTGGGTACTAGATTGCTCACAGATTATCATCCCTGATTTTAATTTTGCCACCTAGATTTTACACAGCATGAATTTGTTAGTTAGCTCAAAGGGTACCAGCTGAGCTTTTCATGGTCCTGGACCTCCTGTGGTGTCACTGAATGGTTGTGGAAAATGATACGAAAATGACATTTCTAGTGTGAACTGTGAAGTGGGCTAATATAGAGTATACATTCATTTTTTTCTAGTTTCTACCTCTCTGATAAAGACTCAAAGGGAGACAAGTTCCATTTCATCACAAAGTTGAACTTATGAGTTAGGACCAACTATTAGTTCTGAGTTTAAACATAAAAAGAAAGCTTAAAAGCAAGGTATGTATTTTATTACATGTTGGAATTTAAAAGGGGGGGTCTGACTGATTCAGAAGACGTATCGTAACACTCGGCCCTTCATTTCGTTCCTGTGTTATGTAATTCCAAAGTTTGACCTCTCTTCTTTGTTTTAGGTTGTCAGGTATAGCTAAGTAAAATTAATGAGTAAAGCTCTAATACTACTTAATAATACACATTATTAGGAAAAGGTAAAGCTCCTCTTTGGCCACGACCCAAAGGGACCAAAACCTATGTTGGCCATTCGTCTGTGACACAAAAGTACTTTGGTTTATTAGTTCTTAATTCGAACGTAATGTTCTAGGGTTTTTGTTAAATTGGCAATTTGGCATTTTCCCTCGGTCCTCATCTAGTCATCTTTGGAGCATGAAATCCTTGTACTCTGTTGTGTCACTCACGCTATATTACAAAAAAATTAAAGGAAATATCGAGGAAATGACCATACGAAAAGAATGAGGTCATGACAAGAAGGAGGTTGACTTTTCTTCACATCAACAAAATACATTTTCGTCTTTCTTTCTTTTTTCTTTTTTTTTTCGAAATAAATACGGAGTACGTTTTCTCAAGTATTCTATATCCTGTTTTATTTTCTTTCCCTTTGGTTTTGGGTTTGGCCCCTACCTACCCCGCGAGAAAGATGAAAAAAATGCACCACTTCAGAAAGTGTGGAAAACATAAAAAAGGAGGTGGACCAGAAGAAACAGAGGATATTATATTGCATTAACATGCCTCGACTTCGTGATTATATGTTTGTTTCGTCCTTTCATCTTGAAAAGATTTTGATTTTATCCCCAAAAAATTTTGTCAAAACAAAGCTCATTTCTTGTAATTTACTAACAACTATAGTATTTGTTTTTAAAATCTATTTTTTCTTTCACTCAGTGTCACAACAACGTTCGAGCTCTTTACAATTGATCTGCAGAAGATCTTTTGAGGAGATTGTATTTATTTATTTTTTTAAATTAAACAATAAATTTATTAGTTAGAACAACCGCAGTGCAAGGTAACTTGCACAGGGAAACGTGTCAGTTACCACTCTTATTCTCTCTCTCCCATTGTGAATCGAAAATAAGTACATTTACGTTGTCTCTGCATTTACTTTATTTTTTGCAGAATAAAAACCAGTTCTAGTGGCTATATCATTTTGATCTTTTCTTCGAAATTGGAAAACTAGATTAAATTGTCTCAAAAACAAATACTTTGAAATTCCACGCTGATGAAGTTACATTGCTATCAATTGTCAAGCTACAATGTGTTCGACTCTCTTTAAAACTTAAAAATTTAGAATCATATCAATTGGTTCAAAGATAAAAGTTTCACTTTTTCTAGGACAAAAGTAAAGGTAGTATTAAATAGAAGGACCAAATGACCAAATTAGTTCATTTACCGCCAAAAACAAAAACAGAAGAAGGAAAAAAGGAAATCCAACCATAAAAATAACCGCAATTAAATTCAAAGTAATACTACATTCAATGCACGCTCCCAAGATCCTTGCCAAAAAGTTGTTCTCGTCCCTTCTTGGCATCCGTCATTTTCTACGTCACAAGAAACCCAACATCAAAGACTCCACAACCACCGCAAATATAAATCCTTTTACTCCTTTTAGTCTAAGGCTCTAAAGCTGATAAGGTTGTCTGTTTGTTAATTTGTTCCCAAGTTACAATCTTTTTCACTAATCTCGTGCTGATAAGGTTGTATTGATTACTGAAATTTTCTGGGTTTAAAAAATTGAGATTCCGATTGTATGAATTGAAAATAGCAGAATAGACCCAAAAGAAGAAAAGAAGAAAGCAAGATGATGATAATGAGTCAGGGGAATACTAATGATATTGAGACTGGGGAGCACCACCGGAATCAGCGGCGGCTCTGTGTCTTCTGCGGTGAAGCCACGGCGGTGCTGTACTGCAGAGCCGATTCGGCGAAGCTCTGTTTAGCGTGTGATCGTCAAGTCCACTCCACCAATCAGCTCTTCACTAAGCATACCCGGTGGTTGCTCTGCGATTCCTGCGATTCAACTCCGGCCACCATCTTCTGCCGCACCCACGCCGCCGTCCTCTGCCAGAACTGCGATTGGGACCACCACAACAATAACTCCACAGGGCAGCATGACCGGAGGCCTCTCGAGGGATTCTCGGGCTGCCCTTCTGCGAGTGAGCTGCTTGGGATTCTCGGATTTGATTCTGATGTGGCCGGTAAGAAAGGGGCGGCGCCCGTTGGTAAGGTGATGAGCGATGTTAACAACAATATTGAGAGAGATGATGGGGAAAATGTTTATGGGTTTTCGGATTTTTTGGTTTGGGAGACTCCTTCCGTGGTTAGTCTTGATGATCTGATCGTGCCTCCTCAGCGGGGTGGCGATGATGATTGTTCTAGTGGCGGCGCCGGAGGCGGCCATGCTTTTCAGGCCATGGGAGTTCCTCCACTGCCTAAGGTTTAATTCTTTTCCCTCTCTGACTCTTTCTCTTCCCTTTTCTTTAAAGCCCGGAATGCATATATGTGATGAAAAACAGTACTCACGTGTCGTTATATTCTCTTTGTTAGTATATTCATCTGTGTAGCATTGATGAAAGTAAGAAAATGTAATGCTTAAATGGAATCTATAGCAGATTTGGATAACCGAATCCTGGATCAGACTGCAATACATTCATTAACTAAAATCAATGAGTTATGGCCTTAAAAAGGAGTTTGTTTTTCATTATGAGGCCTGGTGCTGTTGGATGATTATTGTGACTCCATCGCTCAAAAATTTTTATCTTGGAACTGAAAATGGGTCTCTTAAGTGTTTGATTATAGAAGAGCTTTCTGTTGCTAAATCTCTGACATTGCTCTTCTACAGAACCGAAATGCTACGTGTGGACAACACAAGGAGGAAATACTCTTGCAAATTCGTGAAATTTCAAAGTTGGAACCTAATTTGAATGGTGAACAAGTAGAGTTTGAATCCTTTGGTGGATTCCAGTTCCTTGAAGCTGATCAGCAAGACTATCAGTCCAAAAAGCAAGGTGAATATCTCGACAATGTTGAGCAGCCAACATTAGCTTGTTTCGATAAGGTGACTCTTTACATCCTTTGTAGTTATTATTCGATATATATGATTATTTAAGCTATTCTTTTTCATTTTGTAAGTTGTCAAGCTGTAATTACTAGGCATATCTTAAGAAAGGAACTCACTGGCATTTAGGTTGTTGGAATGGGTGGTTGAATCTTAGGTTCACATGGGATAATCACACCTGGACATAAATCTAGATGTTCTCATTCAAAGGTAGACTCTTACAGGTAGGATTTGTCGGACATAAGACTTCTACAAGTACACCTGAGTATAACTCTGAGATGTTCTATGTAATTTATCTTACATTAGATTAAAATTCCTGTCTTTTCATGCTGTGTATCCCATTCACGTACGATTATCTCTTGACGCTTGTATCATAAAAACTGTCACCCTATTCCGAAAGCATACGAAAATCAAGAGTGGAAAATCATGTGATTGTTATTTCTTCCTGTAGGTTCCCTCAGTTGAATGGTTCAGTGATAAAGTTGATGTTGGGAATCAGGATTTCCCTGCTGTGTTCTTTGGAAGCTATATTGAGACGAACAACGCTGTAGTTCCTGATAAAGTTTCAGAAGCAGGTGATAGCTCAGGGCATATGAATGATAGTCATGAAGACAATGTACATGGTATTGGCACCGATACTGGTAATGGTACTGGGAGTTTCCAGATTCTTCCTAGATTCTCGGTTCGCGAATTAAACAGCCAGGAGAGGGACTCTGCAATATCCCGTTACAAGGAGAAAAAGAAAACCAGAAGGTAACTTGAATCTTTTTTCCTTGAGAAAACTCTTCCAGGGTAGCTTATATCTTATTTTTCTGGTTGGATCTATCAGATTCCTGTCTTTATAGGTTAACTTGAGAAACGTGTCTTATGGAACCATGCACTTTAAAAAGCATTGAAGTGTTGTTTGAATTTTGACACAATTTTTAGTAAATTTTTAAGGCCATAACTCTTCAAAAGATTCATGTCAATGAAGTTTGCTGCATCTTCCATGTTTTGTTGTTAACTGGTGTAAGCCAAGGTGACTTTCGCATTTAGTGGAAGTAGTGACTGTGAAGTCCTTGTAATCTTCTTACCAAAAACATTTCCATATGTTGGGTGGTTTGATTTGATAAATTCATCAGGTATGAGAAGCACATTAGATATGAAACGCGGAAGGCTAGAGCAGAAAGTAGAGCAAGAATTAGGGGACGTTTTGCTAAAATCGAACGATGAAAGATGAGTTTTCAAGAAGCCTATGCCCTTTTGTGATACTGAGCAGGGTAATGTAACAATGCAAAGTATTCAGTTTTGAAGTTAGCAGGAGCAGCAATCTGAAACACATCTTAGAAACGGACCAACTGCGTTGCTGCAAATCTGAATCAGAAGTATTTTACAGGGTCTAGGTTCAGATTAATGTATGACACTTCAGTTTCTTAGTCAGTTTGCTCATAGATGCCTTTGTTGAATCGTAGAATTTAGAGGCACTTTTTAACCTAGGAAATGGAAGTACGTAGAAGTTTGGCTCAGATGTGGGAGTTTCATTGCGTCAGTTTGGATTACAAGATGTAGCATTTAGTGTATTTTTTCTCCTTATGTAATGCACCCCACCTATATATCTATATGTACAGGTATGATGTTGGAAGCATGTAAAATTTGATGTAGAGAGGGACTCTCTCGTTTTAGCTTCATGTTTATGTAGTTAATGGTAAACTAAACAATAATGATAAGCACGGTAAAAGAAGTTACTGAATTTTTTTGCTTTTGGCTTATTAGAGTCGACAAACAGTATAAAAATGAAAGCGGAGGTTTGTAGACTTAGTCATCCAGATTATCATCTCGACGCCGAAGTCGACAACCCATGAAACGTCTAGTTGAATTTCGTAACTTTTTCTTCAGCCTTACGGTCTCCATGCTTAAATCGATGAACACAATTAAACATTACAGTGAGGTTTTTCTTCGGCCTTTTTTTTTTTTTTTTTTTTGTCTCAATGCTTCTGTCGATGAACAAAATTAAACATGAATTTGAAGTTTGTTGACTTGATCATCGACTCTCTGTATCGATACCTTAGTTTACAAACAAATTTCTTTATTCTGTTCATGCTAGAGGATTTAGGAACAAGGTACTCTTCTACAAAAAAAAAAAAAAAAATGATCGAAGAGCATGTAATCCAATGACTATGTCTATGAAAGACAAAGAATTTATAACGATATCATCGATTTGATCATTTTAATGTATGAAAAATTCATTTTGAAATAGAGTATAATAGTAGACTCTTTTTTAATCTCTCAACGAGTGAGTTGATGCTTTTATTTTAAACCCTCAAATTTCACTAAGTCGACTTTGTCATCGAGTCAGTAATCTCGACAAGTAGTAAGCCGACAAGTAGTAACATTTATTTTTACTACGTCGACTCTGTCGTCGAACATTCTAATACCTAAACTAAAGTCGACAAACAAAATAAAAATGAAAGTTGAGTTTCGCCGACTTAGTCGTCGAGATAAAAATCATGACGATTAAGTCGACGAGTTGAGTTTCGTAACTTTCGCTACAGACTTTCTGTCTTGCTTAAGGCGATGAACAAAATTAAACATGAAGTTGATATTTTCCAACTTAATCATCAAGATCTCTATCTCAATGCCTAGTTGGCTGAAAAAGTTCTTAATTTTGTTCATGTTAAATGATTTATGGACAAGGTAAGAAAAGAAATTATAAATTTTTTTTACTGAAAATGTTTGGATCAACGAGCATGTAATTCATCGTCTATGTCTACAAAAAACAAATTTATTCATAACGATGCTTTTGACTAGATTGTCATGTGCGGACAAATAAGTTACAATAGATGAGAATTTTGTTTTGAAATAGTGTCACGACATTGTTATCGGGCAAATGACCTTAGGTATTAAGTTCTTTTTCAAAAAAAAAAATTATTTTTTTAAACTTTCAAATTTCACAAAAAACATTGGCTTTTTCATCGAATAAGTGATCTCGACGAGGAAGTTGACAATTTCTTTTAAACATTTATTTCACTACGTCAGCTCTGTCGTCAAGTCCTCTATCGTGATGATAAAGTCGACAAACTATATAATATAAACAGGTAAACATGAAAGCTGAGTTTCGTCGACCCTTTCATCATGATATTCATCTAGACATGTAAGTCGACGAACCATAAAAGAATCTAGTTGAGTTTTGAAACTTTTTCTTCAGTTGATGAACGAAACTACACATTAAGCTTTGGTATTTCCAACTTGTTTACTGAGCTCTCTATGACAAAAAAAAATAAACTTGAAGTTGAGAGTGATCGACTTGGTCATTGGGCTAGCTCTCTAAGTCAACTTCTAAGTTGATGAACAAAAATTGAAAAACATCAAGTTAAGGTTCGTCGACTTGATCATTGGTCTCTCTATCTTGACACCCAAGTCGACAACACTTACTTTTTCAAGTTTGGTCTCTATCTAGATGCTTAACTCGGTGATAACTTTTTAAGTTAATTTCACAAAGTCAACTTTGTCACCCGGCAAGTTATCTTTGCAAGCAACTCAGATGATACCTTTTTTCAACGTGAATATTACTATTTCAATATTGTCATTCTCAACGGATAAATCAATGACACTTCAAAGCAGTCGAAGAGAAAATTCCTTTGTTAATACCCTATCAACCCACGGGGTAACCGTATCCTCAATCCGAGTCACAACAGCAGAACTAAATTTGTAAAAAGTGCCGTGGCCCTGAAAACTATAGTGAAATTTCCCGTTGACTCTGTTGTCTACATTTCAAAATCTCAATGAGATAGTTTACGCGACTAAAATTCATTTCGGGTTCCCATCCCTGATGAAAAAGTTTTGATGCAAGCAAAGGAAAGAAATGAAAACTCAGACCGACCTTTTTTATTGTTATTATTATTATTATTATTATTTTTTATCCTCATCATTCTTTTAGCCTGACGAATATAAATTGACGCATGCAATGGTCAAATTTTTATTTTTATTTTTTTTTTATATTTGCAGGGTGTTTACCGTTGGCAATAGTAACTAATCCCCCTCGCTGAATTATAGGCACTTCGATGGATGGAACAGCAGGCCAAAGTATTTCAGATTGTTCCATACTCATGACGAGGTTCGAACTCTCAATCTATGGTTAAGGGTCAAATTTTTAACACCAACTGGACAGAAGGAGCCAGTGCCCATAGTGGGCCTATGAAATCTGTATTGGGCCTCTTTAATAGTTAGTGTGAAGGGGCCGTAGATACTAGATAGGTGATATTTTGGACGGAGTCATTGGACTTAAAAAGATTACAAAATTATATACTCACCTCCGTCTCAAAATAATTGTTTTGTTCACTAAAAAAAATAAAAATTCAAACTGGGAAAAAAAATATTAAAAAAAATAGAATAATCGAAAGGAATTAAAAGTACGCATGGGTCTACTATTTCATCATTTTATTTAGGCACGGGCATGGCTCTGAACATTCAGAATTTCTTGAACAAAGATGTGATTCGACTTTCACCGACTATAAAATACAACGATACTTCGTTCCTTTGGAAAGATGTAGGACACGGCAATCACTTGATGTGTATCAGCACACCAGTGTAGTGCACTATTCTCTCAGTCTCAAAATTATTGTTCAATTTGAGATTTCACTTTTATAACAATTTGAACTGAAAATAAAAACTCAAACTGGACAATAATTATAGAACGGAGGAAGTACATACTACATAGGCCAAATGACTAAATTGAAAAATCCTTGCAATGTGCAAAACAAATACACAAATAAATTATAAATCCAACCAGACACGAAAAAACAACCATTCAACCAGATGTTTCGTACCATGGCTCAACCAAAACTCCAAAAATGGCAAAATGCAGACATAGATTAGTGTTACTTTTGGAACTCTGCTACGTATGTGAATGTGGTAATGGTACAATTCTGGACTCAGTCTTCACTTCCTACATTATACACCACTATGGTAGTGGCACTATCTGTTTGGCTGTTTCGTTGTACTTCAAACTCCATTCCTTCCTTAATTCTTGGAGTGGTACTCAATTTGTTTATTTATTTTTTTTTTTTGAGCAATTAGGTGGTACAAGTTTTAAAACCTTAGGCTGTGTTTTTTTGTCCAGAAAGCGAAAAGGGAATCAGGAAAATGAAATCTCATTTCTGATGGAAAAATATACATTCATTAAAGAAATTTTTCATTACGTTTAACATATTCCAAATATACATTGAAATAAGCATTACTTGGCGATTGATACGTTTCTTTTTTACATGGGTATCGGAATAAAAATTAAAATTTTAAATAAACTATAAGAAAAAAAAAGTAAGTTTTGCAAAATTATAATTAATGAAATAATTTGCATTACCATATCAATGTCTCTACTTAAAATAAAACTAAAAAAATTATATCGAATAATCGTCAATAAATTAAGTAAAATATAGTTCAAGAAAGTTTTAGACCCCATTTATTATTGATACGCATCGGAGTTTGGACAAAAGGACTAATTTTCACTTGGTGAATAACCAAATACATTTCACAGCGGAAAGCCAAAATTCTTTTCCGTTTTGAACCATACTTCCACAGATGATTTGAGGCAGAAATAGGCTCTAACCTCCAATCTAATTTTAAATTCTAAACAAAAGAGAAAATTGACGTAATTGGAAAAAACAATTTGGAAGACAATAAAAGAGCTTAAAAAACAAACGAATTGCTTGGCTAAAAATCATTGCAAAAGGTTTTCTTCTTCCAACTTTTCTCCCTTCGGATGTTATAAAAAACAAAAACAAAAAAGGAAATCATAGATGGCAAGAAATACCTTTTAATTTTTATTTTTGTTCTAAAATTTTATGAGAACAAGAAAAGTGAGTTGATGAATTGGGGAGAAGCTGTATTTAAAGAAAACCGAATTTCTCCCGCACAGAATTTGAACGCACTTAAAATAAAGTACTCTTTTGATTTGTTTTTTCACATTTGAGATTGAATAAATAATTAAAGTAATTGGATGGGATTAGGATTACTTATGATATGTTATCTGATTACACCATAAAGTTAATCCCTTACCCGTTATTTTTTACAAAACGCAGTAATGGTAGGAATCGGAATCAAATTCCCATCACCTCCATTCCTATTACTGTAAAAAGAACACACCAGGGTTTTTTTTTCTTTAAGAGTTTTAAAACCTTATTTTTAAGTTTATGAACATCTCTTTTTGTATGGAGTAACTGATGACCCCAAACCTATTAAATCCTTTTAATAATTTTCTTAACGAACATTTCAATTATTAGTGTATTCTCAAACCAGTGTTTTGAGTCTAGTCGCAATCACCTCAAACCGGCCTCAAATGAAACCAAAGAGATTGGGAATTATTGTAAGTTTGTAACGCATAATAAAAGGGTGGTAGTCCCACATAATTGTACCATTCCTAATTTCCCCCCTGCATTACTGTTGACACAACAAGCGAATTAAATAGGGAGAATAATGATAAATCATATTCATGCAATATAGTTTTAGCACTACCTGAACTTTGATTTGCTGACGAAATTGATTTAGAACTCCACCCTCACCACTCCTACTATTCTACCTTATCCCCACCCCTTCATAGCCACCTTACATTTTGTTTTATTTATTTTTTTTTAAAGAAAGAAGGAAATTAAGAGTTTTTTATAAAAAAAAAAAATAGCCTAGAAGTAAGAGTAGAGAGAAATATAGGTTGAATTTTGAAGAAGAAAAAAATACCGAGATCGAATTTCTGAAATCCAATTTTACACCTTAAATCCGACTTTCTTTTAATATAAAAAATTAATTACAT